GCCGGTCCTTGACAAGATCAAGGACACCTATGCGAGGATGGCAGCGGCGGGCAGCGAAGTGTCGCAGATGCAACAATGCACCAAGATCATCTCGGTGCTCGACAACTCGTGGGACAACCTCATCCCCACCCTCAACGTTCAGCAGGACAAATGGACGCCTGAGTGGCTACGGCAGCAGATCCTGCAGGAGGGCTTCCGCAGGCGCCACACTGGAGGTGGTGCTGCCAACAAAACTGCTGAGGGGTATGGAGCTGCAGGAGGCAGCAGAGGGAGAGGGGGAGGGAGAGGCCGAGGCCGTGGGAGAGGCTTTGGCAGAGGGAGAGGCCGAGGTAACTACAATGAGGGGCATAGGAGCTCTGGTGGCAGGGGGAGTACCCGAATGGAGGGTGCGTGCTGGTACTGCAAGAAGGCTGGACACCCATGGTTTAAGTGTTTCAGCCGGCCTGAAGGATGGCCGCCTCCAGGCATGAAGCCGCCAAGTGGTGAACGTGCACGACGTGGTGCTGTGCAAGGTTCAGGTGCACAAGGTGATGGTGCACAAGGTAAAGCCGACCCTGGTATGTTCCTCATGGTTGAGGACGTGCAAGGGAGTGGGGGTGATGTGGGTTCAGTTGGGAAGGTTGTGATGCACCCCCTCACTCACTGGGTGATCGATTCAGGTTGCACGAGTCACATGACTCCACGGGCAGATTTGCTTGATGAGGTGAAGCCCCCTGGGAAGATAAAGTTTGTGGCTGCCGCTTCAGGTGCCTTGCTCCCTGTGATTGGTGTTGGGAATGCCAAGGTTATGGGAGCTAATGGGGGGCTTGTGGGGCTGGGAAATGTGCTGTTGGTTGAAGGTTTATCCGCTAACCTCCTCTCTGTGCGCCGGCTGCAGAAAAGCAAGGCCAAAGTTACGTTCGGCCCAACCTGCTGCCGTGCAAAGCTTGGGAAGTTGCTGCTGTGGAATTTGGAGGAGAAGAGCAGCTGCATCAAGGACTTGTGGCAGCTGCCCATCATCCCTTGGAAGGGGAAACCACCAGCAACGGCAAAGGCAGCGGCAGCGGCTAAAGCAACTGCGGGAGGAGAGGAGACTGCACCAACTGCAGGGGCCCTAGATGCAGTCAAGAAGGTGCAGCAGCCACAACAGCCACATGGTGAGGTGCTTGCTGGTGTGGATGCGACAGCTGCATGGGCAAAGGCTTCATCTGGGAGTGGTGAGGCTGATTGGGAGACGTGGCATGAGAGGCTGTGCCATGTGAACATTCCTATGCTGCAGAAGTTGGTAAAGGATGGGTGCTTGAAGGGGCTGGAGGTGAAGGGGGGAGCAAAGGAGATTGGGAGCTGCCCTACCTGCCTTAAGACCAAATTCACGAAGTTTCCCTTCAGCAGCAGCACAGGACCAGCAAAGGCACCACTTGCACTAGTGCATATGGATGTGGTGGGCCCCACGAGGGCCCTTTCTCTCTCGGGCAGCCGCTACTTCTTGACAATTGTGGACGACCACACGCGTGCGGTGTGGGTGTACCCTCTCAAGACTAAGGGGGAGGTGGCAGCGGCTGTTCTTAAGGAGTGGATGCCGAGAGCACAAAGGGAGAGCGGACACAAGGTGAAGGTGATCCGCACTGACAACGGAGGAGAGTTCATCGGCGCTGATTTTGAGAAGGAGCTGACGCGGAAGGGGATCCAGCATCAGCTCACAGTGCCTTACAACCCTCAGCAGAATGGCGTGGCTGAGCGGTTCAACCGGACCCTGCAGGAAGGTGCTCGCACTCTCCTTGGGCGTGCAGGGCTGCCGGATCCGTTTTGGGTGACAGCACTGCGGCAGGTCGTTGTTGTGAAGAACCGGGTGCTGGCGACTGTGGGGGACAAGCAATGGGTCCCCTACACCAAGTGGTATGGGAGTGTGCCTGCAGTCAACATGCTGAGAACTTATGGCTGTATGGTGGTGTTTCATGTGCCTAAGGAGAAGAGGGGAAAACTGGAAGCTTCTGGGAGATGGGGTGTGCACTTGGGGCTTGCAAAGGATCACAAGGGCTGGCTGATTTGGGACTTGACCAGCCAGCAGCTGACTGTGTCGAGGGATGTGAAGTTCCTTGAGTCCTTGTACTACAAGGAGTGGAAGCAGCAGCAGCAGAAGCTTCCCACTACACCGCTGATTATTGAGGCTGATGAGGTGCAGTGGCCTTCGAGGCAAGTGCAGGTCACTGTCTCAGAGGAGGAGATTTCTGGGGTGACTGAGGATGGGGGAGAACCTGAGGTGGAGGAGCAGCAGCAGCAGCAGCAGCAGCAGCCACAGCAGCAGCAGCAAGGTGCTCCACAAGGTGCCGCGCGTCCGGCTGACCGTCCCCGGAGGGAAGTGCGCCCTCCTAACCGGCTGACCTATCCGAGCTTTGGCAAGCCAAAGGTGGTACGGGCTGGGAGTGTGGCTGAGCAGTGTGATGAGGATGAGATAGCACACTGCTACTGGGCAGCCGTCCCTGAGCCCAAGACGTTAGCCGAGGCATTGAGCGGGCCCGACGCTGAGAAGTGGAAGCAGAGTGTGAAGGAGGAGTATGACTCTCTGCTGGAGAATGAGACGTGGGAGTTGTGTGAGCTGCCACCTGGGAAGAAGGCCATTTCTTCTAAGCTGATCTTCAGGCATAAGTACGGACCCGATGGGGAGCTGACCCGCTACAAGTCAAGGCTTGTGGCTAAGGGGTTCCAACAGACAAAGGGGAAGGATTTTGATGATATCTTTGCTCCTGTAGGGAAAGGCACTACACTGAGGACGATGTTGGCAATGGCTGCAAACCGTGGCTGGAAGATCAAGCAGATGGACATAATCACTGCATTCCTCAATGGAATCATTCTGGAGGAGCTGTACATGCTGCAGCCTGAGGGGTTGGATGATGGGAGCGGCAGGGTGTGCAGGCTCAAGAAGGCCATCTATGGCCTGAAGCAGGCTCCTCGCGCATGGTACCACAAGCTGGAGGAGACACTGCTGGCCGGGGGGTTCAAGAAGAGCGAGTGTGATCACAGCCTGTTCCTGCTGCAAGAAAAGGAGCAGTTCCTCATGCTCCTGGTGTACGTGGACGACATCCTGCTCTTCTCTGAGTCGTCTGCAATGATTGAACGTGTGGAGGAGATGCTGGAAATGCAGTTCAAGTGCTCCAAGATGGGAGATGTGAAGTACTACCTTGGGATGCACGTGGAGAGGGACCTTGACAAGGGAGTGTTGAGGTTGCACCAGAGAAAGTATTGTGAGGGGCTGGCTAAGAAGTATGGGCTGCAAGATGGAGGAAAGCCAGCCACCCCACTGCCTTCGGGGTTCACTGTGGAGCCTTGTGCTGATGAGGAGGTGGTGGGTGAGAGTGACAGGAAACTTCTTCATTCCATGGTTGGGGCACTCAACTATGCGGCTAACCACACACGGCCTGACATTGCCTTTGCAACATCTAGGCTTGCCAGTGTGGTTTCACGCCCCAGTCATGAGCAGCTGGAAGCGGCCAAGAGGTTGGTCCGCTATGTGAGCGCTACAGCGTCTGTGGGTCTGGAGTACAGTGCTGTGAGGCAAAGGCTGCAGAGGGGTGCAGCTGATTTGAGCAAGGGGGAGATGCGCCTGACTTGCTACACCGACGCTAGCTTCAACTCTGTGAAGGCAGATGGCACCAGCATTGGAGGCTATGTGTGCCTCTTTGGAGGTGGTGCAGTGAGCTGGCGCAGCAAGAAGCAGAACGAGGTGGGGCTGTCCTCGTGTGAGACCGAGTACATGGCCCTTCATCATGGGGCAAAGGAGGTGGTGTGGCTGAGGCGTTTGTTGGAGGAAATCGGAGTGTGTCAGAGGGAGCCGACTGTGATTTTCTGTGACAATGAGTCGGCGGTGAAGCTTGCAAAGAATGCCTGTCTTCATGGCTTGACAAAGCACATCAGGCCAAAGTGGCATTGGACAAGGAGGCTCCTGGACAAGTAGGTGCGGCTGGAGATTGTGAAGACCCATCAGCAGGCGGCTGACATTCTCACCAAATGCCTGGCAGAACCTGAGCATTGGAAGGGCATGAAGCTTGCTGGGATGAGTGTGCATTGAGAGTGCATGCTTGAGCTATGGAATGTGGGATGATGGTTGGCAGCCAGAGGGGGAGTTTGTTATGTGATGCTATCATTTGCATTCACGTCTGTCTGCCTCCCATCATGTGTTCGTGCGTTGCATGTGTGAAATGAGCGTGCGCAAGAATTTGTGTTTTCTGTGGTTTGGATTTTCTGAGTGTGTGTGAATGTTATTTGGCTTGAGCAGATATCTGAAGTGACTCCACTGCTCAAGAGCTTTCCGACGAACCAAGAATCACTTCAATCGGAGCACGAACAAGAAAGTTACGAACGTTGGAGTTCGTATGCTTTTGATATTTGGTTGTGGTGACCATGGAGAGTTGTGGGGTTGACTCAATATGGGGTACAGACTTTTGGGGGTTGGGAAACTCGTCACTACTACTGTAGTTGCTGCCAATTGGTTGGGAGAAACCAAACCAGGTTGGCAAGTGTGGCCAAGTTGGGTTGAGGTGGATTGTGGAGGTTGGGATAGTGACAAAGGTCAAAATTGGGTTGCCTATGGGGAAAGGAATTGTGTGGCATGGAGTTTTCTTTGGTTGGAGACTCCTTGGGACCTTCCCTCTCGTCCTCCTCTTTCCTCCTACCTGGTTTAGTGCTACTCTAACTCTCTTGTGTGCAACTCTTGTGAACTTGTGAAACTATTGTGAGTGAATTTAATTTCTATGTGGCAGCATACCCCCTGGTGCACCGAGAAGCATAACTCAAGATTTACTCCACTTTTCGATATGATTCAAATTGAGAATGATAGCCACAAACAAGGGCTATAACATACTCGAGTTTGAGACGATTCTAACGGTGCACTTTTCGTCGACAACGTTTCTTGTGAAGTCGCGGTTTCTGTCCAGAATTTCAAGCCAACGATTTTGAGAAATTTAGGCTCCTAATCTTCACGGACTCGATCCTTAGTCTCTAACACCTGCTAGAACACTGCTGTCATGGCTACCCCCAGTGTCCTTACCTTTGATGCTGAGGGTCGTGCTATTGACTTCGAGGTCTGGGTCGATGACCTGCAGCTTTTCCTACAATGCGATAGGGCAGACGGACTCTCCCTGTTTGATCTCACCTCTGGTGCCTCTCATGCCCCGCCTACAGATGCTAATAGCACTGTTCGCTCACAGTGGGCCACGCGCGATGCTGCTGCCCGTCTTGCTGTGCGTCGCCACTTACCGACCACTGAGCGTGCGCACTTTAGTCAGTACAAGAGTGCTAAGGCCTTGTACGACGCTGTAGTTGCACGCTACTCTTCCCCTGCCACTGCTGCTCTTAGCCGCCTCATACTGCCGTACCTGTTTCCTGACCTCGCCGCCTTTCCCACTGTCGTTGACCTCATTACGCACCTTCGCACTAGTGACACCCGCTACCGCGCTGCGCTTCCTGCTGAGTTCTGCGCCAAGAACCCCCCCCCCCCCATGTACATCACCCTCTACTACATAGTCACCCAGCTCCTTGACTCCCTTCGCTCGGTCAGGGACCACTTCCTCTCAGTTTGCCCCACCACACTCACCGTTGACCTCCTCGAGGAGCGCCTCCTGGCAGCTGAGAAGAGTATAGTCGCTGTAGGAGCCTCTAGAGGTGACCCGCGTGCCCCTGTCTTTGAGGGGTGCTCCCCCTCCCTCCTCTTGCCCTCTGTTGCCTTTGCTGCTGCCGTCGACTTCGTTGGCACCAAGTCGGTCGGCGCTGCGTCTGCCCCTAGCGGGAGATGCCGCACCGGCAAGGGAAAGGGGGGCAAGGGCGCTAGAGGGGCTGGCGGGGGCGGTGGAGGTGGCGGTGGAGGAGGCGGAGGGAGTGGGGGTGGTGGTGGGAGTGGTGGCGGGGGTGGGGGCTTCGGTGGCGGCAGTGGCGGCGGAGGCGGCGGCGGTGGTGGCGGTGGGAGCGGAGGGGGAGGCGGTGGTGGCGGTGGCGGAGGTGGCGGCGGAGGAGGTGGAGCTAGTCGGGGTGGCTCTACGCAGCGGGGCGGCTTAGGTGGTGGTCAGCGCCAGCAGCAGCAGCGCACTCGTGAGACCCCGTTCCCCCAGCAGCTTCGTGAGTGCTACGCTGCGCGTCTGCGAGGTGGAGGTACTGGTCCCTGTACCTACGTCCTCCGTACCGGCGACCGCGCTGGTGAGCAGTGCGGGGGCTCGCACTCCACCCAGCGCTACTTCGGCCGCCTGACGGACGCTTGGCGTCACCAGTTCCCTGACACCACTGAGATCCCTCGCTGGGGAGAGCTGTCTAGGGTGGGGGTTCCTATCATTGATCTTGACTATGATGCTATTCTTGTTGCCATGTATGCTGTGTCTCCTAGTGATGAGGGTGACTGTTACCTGTGTGTTCCGCCTGACCCGGGCATTGAGGCTGCTGCTCTAGGTGCTGGTGAGGCTGCTGCTCTAGGTGCTAGTGCGTCTGCTGCCCCAAGTGCTGGTGAGTCTGCTCTCTCAGGTACCGCGTCGGCTCAGGCCTTACACACCTTCACCCTTGACTCGGGTGCTTTCCGCTCCTTCTTTCGAGACCACACCACGCTTACGCCGCTTAGTCGGCCGGTTGCGGTCTCCCTGGCGAACCCCTCTGGGGGTCCTGTCCTTGCTCGTTTCTCTACTGTCTTACTGTGTCCGGCAGCCCCCTCTGGCACCCTGTCAGGTCTCTACCTCCCCTCGTTCTCTACGAACTTGGTGAGTGGTGCTGACCTACAGGATGGGGGGGTTGACCAGTTCACTCCTGCGAGTCAGCGGGTGACCCACTGCACGTGTGCTCGGACGGGCCGACACTTGGCCACGTTTACCCGTCGGCCGGGGTCGAGCCTGTACACACTGACTACTGAGTCTCGTCCGGTTGCTGAATCTGGTCAGGTAGCTGCGTCGAGTCAGGTGTTTGCTGCAGCGTCCAGGTCAGGTCCTGAGTCTGCTCCCTGCTTGTGTCGTCTCCTGTCCCACCAGACTCTCCTTTGGCACCACCACCTTGGTCACCCCTCCCTTCCTCGTCTCCGAGGCATGGCCTCACGTGTCCTTGTCTCTGGTCTCCCTCGGTCCCTACCTCCCCTACCTCCGGGGCCTGCCCCTACCTGCGTCCCCTTCTTCGAGGGGCGACAGCGCGCTGCCCCTTACTCCTCCGAATTTCCTCTGACAGAGGCTCCGCTGCAGACTCTTCACATGGACGTGTGGGGCCCCGCCCGCGTCCGTGGCCAGGGTCACGAGCGATACTTCCTGTTGGTGGTTGACGACTACTCGCGTTACACCACGGTGTTCTCCTTGCGCAGCAAGGGTGACGTCACTGAGGTGTTGATCGACTGGATCCGCGCAGCTCGTCTCTGTTATAGTCACAGTAGGCTCCAATGTGCGTAAAACGAAAGATAGAGTGCACAGTCGGATTTCTGCACAGCGGCTTCAAACGTTCATAGCGATCTGCTCACAACTCTAAATGACTTCATTCAACTTGGATCTGGAGCGCCTTAACGTCGCCTACAATAGTTAATTTAATTAGCACGCTTGCATTAAGAAGTGACGACACAGCGTTGGTTTGAACGAACGGCACTATGGCAGCAACATAGTCTTAGAACACAAGATAGGACGAGTTAGGAAGAGTTACGAGTTGGGAATGACTCCCAGCTCCTACAAACCCCAAGAGCCGAGGTACAGTGATGTGGAACAGTGCCACACTATCCCCAACCACGAAGGGTCTCGAAACTACCCTTCACTAGGGCCTACACCAAGTGAAATGTTACACTACACAAAGTAATGTAACTATCTTCAATATCTTGAGGTGCACCCTTTTGGCGAGCTTCGAAATCACTTGAGGCTTGACACCAAGGCTCGGGCTCTTCATCACAAACTCATCCTTGAGTTCTTGATGGGTCTTCTGCACACACCTGCGACATGCTGAACGTTCGACACAGGACAAAATAGAAACCGCGCACGACAAAATAAAAACCGCGCGCGAGACACAAACGACCGCGTAACACGCGTCTAGCGATAACTCGCTATTGACTCGACACACACACTCGACATCATGACTCAACATTCACACACAATTATAAGCATGAAATATAGATTATCCCATGCCCTCATACCATTCCATACACACACACATGCACGCACACGGACAACAAGCCGAGTGCAAACCGTAGGGTTGCACCAACAAACTCCCCCTCGGATTGTTGGCCTTAGGATATGTTGCTCTCTCAGTTTTGAGCCATCCCAGCCAGCTTGCAACACTTCCAATGCTGCTGCTCCACCAGCCTCTTAGTCATCATGTCAGCCGGCTGCCCCGTGGTCTTCACGTACCGCAACTCAACTTCACCCGCGGTCACCATGCTCCTCGTCCAATGCCACTTCACCCTCATGTGCTTTGTGAGTCCATGCAACACAGGGTTCTTAGCAAGAGCAATTGCACCCTGGCTGTCACAGTAGAGTGGGGTAGGTCCTTGCTGCTCCTCCCCCAATTCAGCCAACAAACGCCGCTGCCACACAATCTCCCGTACGGCACGGAAGAGTGCCATGTATTCGGACTCCACCGAGCTCAAAGCTTGGTCAACCTGCTTCTTGCTCTCCCAAGCAGTTGGGCCTCCACCAACATAGCATATGAAGCCTCCCACACTTGTCATGTCCTCTGGTTCCGATGCATATGAAGCATCCGAGTAGGCGGTGAGGAACAAACGCCCGGGTTCAACACCATCCGCGCCCTTTTGGCGCCTTTGTGCCGCCGCCGAGTATTGCAGCCCAACGGTCAGTGTTTGGCCAAGATACTTGGCCACCCTCATTCCAGCTGCTACCTGCTCCTCATTAGGGCATTGCACAACCCTAGCCAGCTGCCCGGTAGCAAACGCGACGTCCGGTCGGGTGTTTACCGCCGCATACATGAGGCTGCCCACCAACGAGTGAAAACGGCGCCTCTCCTCTTCTCCAACGCTCTCCTCCTCTGGCCCCTTCACACACTTGAAACCCAGACGGAAAGGGAGTAGCCACATGACCTTCACTCTGGCCGAAGTGGGCGGCCAACGCCTCCAGGTACTTCCGTTGGTGCACTCGCATGCTCCGCTTCTCCACGTCTCGTTCGATGTGGAGCCCAAGGTAGAAGTTCACGTCACCAAGGGACTTGCACTTGAACTTTTCTTGCAGCTTCAGCATCACCTCCTTCACAAGGTTAGAAGAGGGTGAGAAGATCAGGATGTCATCCACGTACACCACCATGAAGCTCCTCTGCTCCCCCTCGCCAAGAATGAACAAGGAGTGATCGGCCGTTGAGGGAGTGAAGCCGATCCCCTCCAACACTTCGCGCAGCTTCATGTACCATTGCCTAGGGGCCTGCTTCAGCCCATAGAAGGCCTTCTTCAGCTTCCACACTCTGCCACTACCATCGTTAAACCCCTCTGGCTGCGCCATAAAAATCTCCTCCTCAAGGATGCCGTTAAGGAATGCCGTTACGATGTCCATTTGTTTTACTACCCATCCTTTGATGGCGGCTCCCGCGAATAGGGTTCGCAGCGTTGCCGGCTTCACCACAGGAGCAAACAGCTCCTTGAAGTCCACCTTCTCCCTCTGCTGGTACCCCTTGGCTACAAGCCTAGACTTGTAGCGCTCGATCTTGCCGTCGGCATCCAACTTGATTTTGAAGAGGCACTTGGACGTTATCGCCAAACGCCCCTCCGGTAGCTCCACCAATTCAAACGTGTCATTCTCCTCGATGCTCTTCAGCTCACTCTCCATGGCCTTCTTCCACTCCTCAGCATCACTACTCTCCAAAGCCTCCTTGAGAGTTGCTGGTTCTCCCGGCATCTCCACCGGAGAGAAGAACGCGAAGGCACACTCCTCGTAGTCACTCTCCTCGTCGTCTCCGACCATCATTGCCGCTCCGGCCAGGGCTGTCTTGCCCTGCTTTCCCAGTGCATCATAGGTCAGCCAATTAGGGGGTTGAACTCTCCTCTTCCCCCTTCCTTCCTCCTCAGCTGCAGGGACTTGAAGGCCTTGGCGTTGCTGCGGTGTGGCTCGGATCCGTGGAGCGCTCGTAGTGCGGGAAGGGAGTGTCGGTGCACGCTCGCTCACTTGCTGCACCTCCTCCTCTTCTTCCTCTGCATCCTTGGCCTCCTCTCCCCCATTCACAAGGGAAGATTGCCTTGTGGTGGTGCTGCCGCTGCTCAACTCCAAAGGCAGCTCCATGTGCTCCAAGCCGGAGCTCTTCACCTCTCAAAACCGCACGCCTATCTTCGCCTCATTCTCCGCCTTCCAATCCTTGTACATGAAGTTCTCCATGAACTTGCAGTCCCTGCTCACCATGAACTTCTTGGTGAATGGGTCCCAAAGAAGCCACCCTTAGCTGTTTTGAGCCATGCCCAAGTGCACAGCCCATATCGCCTTGGCACCAAGCTTGTTGTGCCGAAGATGCTTAGGCACGAGCGCCATGCACATGCACCCGAACACCCGAAGCATATCCACCTTTGGCTTTCTTCCAACCCACTCCACATAGGGCACCCATTTGTCTGCTCCCACATGAGTCAAAACTCTGTTCTTGGCCACACACGCGCTCCGCGCTGCATCAGGCCAGAAATAGTCGGGTAGCCCGGCTTCAATGAGCAACCCGCGTGCCGCCTCCGTAATCGTCCGATTCGCTCGCTCGGCGATGCCGTTCATTGCAGGGGAGTATGGCATGGTGAGGGAGTGCCGAATACCATTCTTCTTCAGCCACAACCCAAACTCCTTGCTCAGGAACTCTCCCCCTTGATCGGTGCGGATTGACTTGACTAGACGGTCTTGTTGCCGCTCCACCATCGGGAACCAATCCGTCTTCAACGTTTCAGCCACGTCGCTCTTCTTGGCCAGCACATACACCCAAGTCATGCGGGTGTAGACGTCGACAATGCTGAGAAAATACTCAGCTCCAGCAGCTCCAAGCTTCAGGGGGCCCACCACGTCCATCACCACCTCATCAAGCGGTGCCTTAGCCGTCGCCTCCGAACTAGAGAACAGGAATCGGGTGAACTTGGCTTGCATGCA